ATTCTATGCGTGGAAGTGCTGGTGCACTTGTGCGTTGAGCCAGTAGGAGCAGCGCTGGAAGGAGAAGATGCGCTGAGTGAAGGGAGAAGCCTGTATGCTGGAAGTGATGCAGCTATAGCTGCCCAGCAAGTTAGCATTAGTAGTAGAGGGTTAGTATGTAGCTATGAGTAGTATCCAGAGTAGATCCTCATGAGTGAAGAGTGTGTATGCATCGTAGGAGGAAGGGACTGAGGCTGAAAGTGTTCATTCAAGGTTCGGCTATGGAAGATACTTAACTGGGTTAGATGTGACCTGCAGAGGTGGCGCTGAAGACGTAGTGACCACATTGACGACTTGGAGACTATCTGCAGGGGTAGCACTGATTCACTGGAAGGCATATTGATGAGTTGGCAAGATATTGGTGTTGCGCTGATGAGCGCTGGACTCAGGGAAACCTTGAAACACTTTGTATTCATATTTTTGATAATATAAGCTGTGAAACTCGGTTCTCATCTTCTCTACCTTTGTCTATTATCAGACTACTGTTCGTTGTGTGTGGGAGAATGATGCATGGCATGTACACACTTGCGTGAGATGGTCTCCAGGACCCATGCAAGGGCATTATTGAAATAGGAATCAGGAAAATGTCTACGCCTAAGCTCTATGGACAAGGGCACTATCGAAATAAGAATCAGGAAAATATCTACGCCTAAGCTCTAGTTTCACTGTTTCAGGCTGAAAAGAAAAAGGGTCATTGCCCTGAAGGGTCTGTCTATGGTCCAGACTGTCATCAGCAGTCGATGATTGCTGGTCCATTTTTTAAACCCGCCTCTTGAGCAACAGCCGGTTGCCTCAATCATGTGGCACCCATGTCAACCCACTTAGTGCTTGTTTTCATGTGTGTTTTATAACTTTTACAAGTTTTATTTATTTATTTATATTTATTTATTTTTCTTCCATCAGGTTCATTGTCCTGAAGGAGTTTTTGAAGCAAGGAATAGCATTTTATGAAGTGTTATCTAAAGGCTGAAAACATTGCAGTCATTCGGATGCTACATTCACTAAAATTGAGATAAGGAAAAAAAAAAAAAAAAGAGGACTTTCTGCATTGAGCAGTTACACAGTGTACACAGTATGTAGTATGTACCCACCTGCAGTTCCCTTCACGTGTGTTGTCACATGCGATGATGACTCATCCCCCCACAGTGTGGAAAGACCAAAGTCGTTCACCCTAGCATTGAAGCTTTCATCAATGAGAATGTTACTTGACTTGATATCGCGATGGATGATCGCAGGGGTTGCCTCTGTGTGTAAATAATCAATCTGGAAACAAATCACAGGATCCGAAAAGAACAAGCCAAGCGTCAGTCGCAAATTCTACATACGATATTGTAAATCAGCTCATCTACAATAGGGTCAAACGATGTAAACATTGCAAGATTTTACGATCAAAGTATATAAGTTTCATTGGAAGTCATCGCACTGTCAGTGAGGATCACATATTCTCATATTGCTGAATATACATAAACTGACATAAACTGACATAAATTGTGACATAAACTGACATAAACTGACATAAACTGACATAAACTGTGACATAAACTGACATAAACTGACATAAACTGACATAAACTGACATCCAAGTGATTTTAGGTGATAGCAAGGGCAAGCTCTTTGCCGTGAGCAGCAGAGGTCTGGTCTTAAACAGGAGTCCACCGCAGAAACATCATGGGACCATGTGGGCAAAGCTGTGAGATTGGGAAAGAGGACATGATGATCATAACTTCATAATCTTTAACAATGACTAGTCGTGTTGAATACTGAAGGGAGAGGCTTTCACAATGACCAGTCCTGTTGGATACTGAAGAGTGCATCAAATGTTGTGGAGATGATATGCCACTTTACTTGGCAGCTGGGGAACGAACTGGGTACGGAATCGTTCAAATCGGATTGGAAGACAATGCCAAGTACAGACTCGCCAGAATATCAATATGCTCAACCAGTCACACTCGAGATGCAACAACAAGTACACTGGCAAATGAATACAAGCATGCTCAACAATTGCCTCATGGTCAATGCACCGACTGGCCTGGGTCAGTTGGTACACCCCTGAGTTGTTGAAATACAGAACTGAGTTTGAACTCCACTCGAAGCAGATGAAGCAGATGAGTAAAATACCGCAAATTTGAATTACCTAGGGCTGGTCCGTTCAAAGGATGATATCTCAAGGCCGTTGCCCTTCTTTTTGAAAATTGAAAAAAAAAAAAGAAGGAAGAGGAAGGAGAGAAAGAGAATGCGGAGAGATGAAAAAGGGAGTCATGGTCAACGTACCAGAGATAATACAATGAATCAAAAAAAGTTAAGAAAACAATAACATCAAATGACCCCCAATCTCAAGAATAACTGCAAATTTCCACCGTCCTTCCCAGCTGTCTAACGAAATCTATCTACTTCCATACCTCTCTCTCTCTCTCTCTCTCTCTGTGTGTGTGTGTGTGTGTGTGTGTGTGTGTGTGTGTGTGTGTGTGTGTGTGTGTGTGTGTGTGTGTGTGTGAGAATGGTATGGATTCGTCCCTGCAATCTAAAGCGAGAATGGGGAAGCAATTTAGCCCCCAAATTAGAAAAGAGGAAGCAAACAGTGGTGCGTGGACAACTGTAAGACACAGCCTGGAGGGGGCGAAAGGGAGGAGACATATCAATAAAAGATTGAGTGTTTTAGAACTGGACAGGGGATTGAATTCTTGAGGATCTTTTCTAATTGACTTGGGAAAAGAAAAGAAAAAAGACCTAAAAGGCTAAAAGGCTAAAACCTAAAGGAGTAGAGCACACATTCCCTGGGTAAAAATCCGAGGCGTTTGTGCTTCAAAACTAACAAGTTTGCAATGGTGCGTTAAATTTGGCTCTGTCATCGAATAGCTGGCTCGAGCAGCGAAGAAGGTAGGAAGAGAAAAAAAAAAAAAAAAAAAAAAAAAAAAAAAGTTGGTTGTCTGAAAAACCATGTGCCATCTGCCCACATCGTATGGCAGAGGAAAGTACACATTGTCTTTTTAATTACTGTAAGAAGTCCTCTTAAGTACGTCGAAAGGTGGTGTCTTGTACTTTAACCGGGGTGGGAATTGGACTACCCAGTTCTGGGGCCCTCATATTAGATAATTTAGATTCCATCATTCCAAGCTTTGTGCAGCTTGGAGACATGCAGGGGTTTTTGCTCCCTGACTGTAGGTTGCCAAGTTTCTTCAGGCCATTGTGCAGGTAGCAGCTCTGAAGAGTTACTGTAGTAATTGGACAGTCACTGTGCCGGATAGAATCATTGGCAGCAAAGCCAAGCCTCATGGGTAAAGGAGCATTCAAGTTGTGGGGGTAAACCGTCCTTTCATACAGTCGATGCCATCAAATATGGGTCCCTTGACCATAACGGAGGGAAGAACCATAACGGAGGGAAGCATTAAGAGCTATGAGGTTGAGAAAGGAGGCCTACGAGGGAAGACGTTGTGCGATCTTGTAGCGGATCGGCCTTGCTGAACACGTCCGGGCAATTATCCCACCAGCATCTCACGTTCACGAGTACTCCGTTCAGCTGCGTATCAGAGACACGGTCGGGGTTCAACCAAGGGCTGGCTATTCCCAGTGATCCCCTTTCACAACGAGCTTGAGTCTTCGCAGCGAGTTCTTCACTACGAGTATCGATGCTTTCCGGCACTTGATAATCTGTTTATCTCTTGGCATCCCGATTTCAAGCAGGCGCTGGTCTCTACCAACAAATTGAAGTCGGATTGAAAGGAAAAAGATAAGAAAAACTTTGAAAATACACAACTTCATAGACTTCATTTGGGGTCATGGGCAACTGGCGAGAGGCCGAGTGACTGGCGGAGCCCCCCAGATCGACAACAAAAGTGAACACATTGAGGTAACCTGTGACAGATAAGGAGTTATCCAAGTGCTATGGCTTTGACACACCCACATCCAAACCTTCTTGTTTGTTCCTAGTTTTTACATCGAAGTTTTCACAAAAAGGGTTTGTTAATAATGGTCTTAGACAACAGGTCCAAGCATGTCCGTCTTCCAAATGACCCGTTGTTGTGTTGGATGACACATGAAAGGTCTAATTTAGTAATTTCCAAGCTTTCAGATCAATTTTCTCCCCTGCAGTTCGGCTGGATCTTACTACAGGCTGTATGAGATCGAAGTGAATTTATTTATTTATTTATTTATTTATTTATTTTTATTTATTTATTTTTAAATCAATAATGGTCTTAGACAACAGGTCCAAGCGTGTCCGTTTCCCAAATGACCCGTTGTTGGATGACATGAAAGGTCTGATTTCCAAGCTTTCCGATCAAAATTTTCTCCCCCGCAGTTCGGCTGGATCTTACCACGGGCCGTATGCGGTCTGTTGTGAAGTCGATGGATGATTTGAATGAAGCCCAGCGCAACGTTGGCAAGTTCGAACATTTCCTTTTCAAAATAGTGTGACGTCACCTGGGGGTATTTACTATTTAGGCACAGGTTGACAAGAGTATGCCAAAAACTGAAGGAGAAGAAGCTCCGGCTAACCCTGTGCCAGCAGTTGCAGAAAGACCCGGGGGGGAACAGGGGGGTGGGGTGGGGAGTAAAGTGTTAGCTTGCAAAGCTTCTGAAGCTTTGATACGTGATAGCAAGGAGAATTTTTTTTTGCATGCAGAGCAACTCGTATTGAGATGATCGAGCTTGACATCGCCGCAGATGTGAAAATATTCACAAATAAGTTGAAATAACCAGCCAACTCATGCGGCATGTAGGAATTCACTCACCGCACGAGCAGCTCCTAATGCTATTGTAAGCCGTTGCTTCCATGTCAGAGTAGCTCCATCACATTTCCTCCTCCCTGTGGACCACAGGCAAGGCGCTCATAATCAGCAGCAGTCGCTTACCTTCCAGAATTTCACCCCTATAGCCTTGCAGTCACTTCTTTGCTGTTTGATTTGTGTGTGTGTGTGTGGGGGGGGGGGAAGGGGGG